GGCGGATTATGAGACATTATAAATATTTTAAAAAGTGTCTTTGAACAAAATATCTGACCTCATCGATAAGGAAGAGCCTGACTAGCTGCAGCATACAATTATCCTTCCATTTTCTTGTCATGCTGTCCCATTTTTCCTGTCAAAAAAGAAATACAACATTATGTATTTGTATGCAATTCCAATCACAGTGTTAGTTGTGATTCTTCATTCTGTTGCATTTCTTTAATTAAGATGCAGCATATTGTCACACCGGCGTTGTCAGGATGATGTGGGAGTCCTGAATCTCAAAGAAGTCATCGATCTCTGTGTCACCCGTCAGCTCCTTACAGGTCAGTCCCAGAGGACCGAACTTCTTCTTCCAGCTCTCAAAGCACTGACTGCAGAGAGCCTTGATGGGGGCCACTGGTAAGAACAGTGACATGATCAGGCACACCCTAAGTCTATAACGTAATCAACAAATCTAATCTGGAATAAAAGCCATTCAGGGGCCCAGTGTATGATTACAATCAGATGTCTTGTGTTGAAACATTGCAACTCTTCACTCACTTTGTTAAAGCTGTGACTCACTGGGTATAGAATTCCTCCCTCGTGCTTTATTACAACACAATCTTTCTTCGCATTGGCAACACGTTTAAACAGTAAATTTGACTGTCATTTTCAGTTTCAGAGTTAAGAAAAAAATCCTTGTACTGAAAATGGAAATTTACACATATTTGTGTATGTTTGTGAATATAAATATTACATCCAGACCAAATCTAATCAGACTGGAGCTATATTTATGTATTATTAGGTTCTACATTGTAATATGCTTACTATAGACAGCTTTGACATCTCTCCAGGGCTCTGATGACTCCATTAAAAGGCAAATGATTGCCAGCTCAAACAACACTGTTTTACCAGATCCAGTAGGAGCACATGCAACAAAGTTCTTACTCGTGTAAAGAACCTGGGTGAATAAACAAAAGAAATACAGTTACATTTACCAGGTTATGACAAGGAAGTGGAAACTATCGTGCCGCTAATACTCCTCAACATTATGTCAATAAAAGGATATCAAATAATGCTTACATCATCCAGTGCTTTGGACTGAACGTAGTTGAAAAAGGGGAACTCCTTGAAGACAGATCTGAACTTAGCTGCTGTGTTTGCATGGATGAGTGAATAATCCCACATTACTTGTGACATTGCATTCCAAACACTTTAGCCCAGTTTAAACATAGAATGTTGTCTAAAATGTTGAAATTGTGTTAACTTATGCAACAGCAAAAAGGATACGGATTTCAAAAACTGGTCTCAAAACCTCAGACCCAGAGGACCCTAAAATGTACAAAATTAAAACATAACTTTCATGTTCGATCACACTCTCACTGATTACACTGTGACAAGGATTTGAAATGTTTGACATTTTTTAGAGTATGGAATTGAGGGATATTTTTGAGAATGCGAGTCAAATGTCAGAAAAAAGTAAACCACATGTGGTTGGTTACAAAGGTTCTACTGTTACTGCACGAGTTATACTGATTTACAACCCACCACCTAGTGACCAGTGTGTTGCATTACAATGGAACGGTCAACGAGGAGAGCTCACCTCATTTCACCTTATCACCCAAACACAATGTGGCAGCTGATGCACATTAGCCGCACCACTTTACAGAAGCTATGCGAGTGTTATTTGGTAAACCAGTGAAGACTATGAGTACGGCGCCGGTCTGTGATTGTGTCTATGCAGTGGCGCACCTTGTATGCAAAGCGGCTGAGGCGTCATGGGTGGAACGAAGGCTCTCTTTGTGCCGTTCTCCTGCATCTCAGCATTTGCCGTCGTGTGGGGGAGTCGGCCCCTCGCTGCAGATGAGCCCAAAGGAAGGGCTGGGAGGGGGGGCTTGGGGGAAAGAAGAGAAGCTGCCTGGCTAACTGTCGCTTGTGGCGGCTGAAGAGGAGGCACTGTCACCATGGCAACCGTGCTGAGAAAAGTTTGAGGTCTGGATGCTGTCTGGCTTTGGCTGCTGCTGCTGCTGCTGCTTCTGAGGTCGTCTATGTTTGACGAGTCACCTCCAGTGTTCAACATCTGAACCTTGAACAAACTGTTGTGGGGGAAGGGGAGGACACGGAGGGAGATGACGAGGAAAGTAGAATGAAAAAAGGAAAACAAGTAGGTTTATTTGAACCAGCATGTGGGGGATGGTTTAGCATCTTTTATATTGCTATTCACAGGAGTAAAAAGCAAGCCTCTTCATGATATACTGCAGTTCCGTCTTAACTAAGCATGCTAATTCCAACCATCTGAGGGATGAAAAAGTCCCATTTTTGGACACCCAAAAACTGGAAACATGCATTTTATACAGAGAATAACATCACTCCTGCAAATTTAAGCACTTTTAAAAAGATGTTTCACATCCGCCTCCAAGGAGAGAAAGAGCAATGTAGGTCTGTATACAGCCTGAAGGCCACATATTGATATTTAGCTTTTGAAATGAGAAACCTGTAACTTCCCAGATGTGGATATTTATTATTATGTGTTGTCTTGACAAATAACGGCAACTTGCCTTTTCCGTAGAGGTGGGCTTTTGATTTGCTCCAGGGACAAACACCTCCTGCTGATGACTGGATGACCAGAGTGCTGCAGGGTTTCATCTCTACTTCTGCTACTCTGACAGGAACCCTGGGAGCAATCCCTAAACCCGTCACCTCGCCAAAGGCTGGTGCTGGTGCTACTGTCGCCACTTTGAGTCTGCTCAATCTCTTTCTCGTCATTGTTGTACGAGTAGGGACTATCGATTTTTGATGGTAAAACCATAAGAGAATCAGATCCTTTCGAAGGAGGCAGGAATGTATTGCGTCTCTGTGAGAAACCTGTGAATGAGAGAATAAGACCAGGATCCTGTTGCGTTTACTCGAGCACATAAATTGGGAAAGCTTTCAAGCCTATTCAAGCTAGTATGTTAGTGAGTCACACTGGTAAATTTAGTAGTTATTCTATAGGCCAAACACAGAGCAGCTAACTCAAATCAAGAGAATTCACCCTAATCCAGAGCACAACCTACTGTAATGGGTAGAAAAAGACTCTGCCTCCTCCTGCACTTCCTGCGTAGCTGGAACCTGAGAAAGGGATGGAGGAGCTTCCAGCTGCCATTTGCTGACCTCCTGGTGCAGTGGCTTTCTGCCAAATACAATCCACAGGCAAAAAAAACACATTCATTTAGCAGTGAGCGAGACAAAGAGAGAAGGATGATGTGGGTCATCTCAGTCACTCACACTTTTTGGACAATGGTTTTCTCAAAAAACAGATTGTCCAAGGACGAGGTGCAGTCATCAGTGTCCAACATCCCTTTTGGTTGTGTAGGCGCTCAAAATGCAAAGTGGGGCAATCTCAATCAATCACTATGGATCTTGGGTTGCAAAGTCTAGCTTAAAGAAAAAAACAAATGAGGAATCAGGAAACATTTATTGCCAAATATGTCAAACATACAAGGAATTTGTCTTGGCGGTTGGTGTGTGACAGTAGACAGTGATACTAAGTGGGATACCAAGGGAGTTTAGTGAAAGGGGAAAGCTTTTGCAGCCGCACGATTAGAGGCTCTTTCCTCAAGGTTTGTTTTAGCCTGATGCACAAAATAATAGTTTACCATATTTTTTCTTTCATAACACATGCTAAGGTGCAAAAATCAAACCTTCAAATGATTTGGCAGTTATATTATAATTAGCATTAACAAGCTAGGTAGGGTCTAACTATTACAGAAATGAAATGATCACTACATTACATTAAGACAATAATTCTACTGTATATTTTGTTTTTTTATATGACCACAATTAGCCATATTCTTGCAATTAACGTTACTACAATGTTAGCTAATGCTACATGTAACATTAATTACAATAGAAGGGAATGCTCTTAGTAGCCGGCTGCTGAACACAAAGAAATGTATTTCCCGTCATGAGTGATGTAACTAGTTAGTAACGTTATCTCAATGTAACATAACGCTAGTTACTTCATTACCTAATAACATTTCTGGCCTGAATCAGTGGAGGAAAACTAGCTTTGCTAGCGTTAGCTAGTGAACAACTGGCTAACGTTAGCATTCAAATATGAATATATTCTAATTTATGGCTGTCAGTTAGCGCCATTTTTAGTTCAGTTTAACCAAGGACCCATTTAAAGTTCTCCCGGTGAACGAAACGTTACCTTTTATAATGAATACATTGGAAGCCTAAATATTAAAACTGTAACGTTAGTTAACGTTAGGTAAGAGCCCGAGCCCTCACCTTTGACCCCAATCATTTTGCCACGTTGGCGCGAGATTAAACTCATTGGTAACAACGTAATTTATGAGCATATTTGACGTAGCAGTAACGGTGCTGTAGCTTACACTTTTATTAAAAAGATTGTCTGGAACTAAATGTTTGAATCAAAATGTAAGTATGACAACTATAACAGATGTTTCATGTAATTTATTTTAGAGTATGTGTTTAAATACAATGTGCTTTCTGGCTGAAACACACTGGGCTTTGATTTACTGCTCCGGCGGACGACAAAACAACAAAGACCTGTGCGAAGACAACAATCATGGGGGCATAGTAGCAACATCTCCCCGGTGTTGGCAATACAATTCATGTATGTGCGACAACGGCAGGTTAACGTGGCCAAACTGAATATCTACTTAAAAAACAACTAGTAACTATAGTTTCAATTTATAGGATCAATTAAAACGGCGATTAACCGCTATCAACCTAGAAAAAATATTCTACTCAAAGGAGATGGTCATTAACTCAGTTTTTTTATGCCTCCTATCTGGAATGAACCATTTTAAATATTTTAGGGGGACATGGCGCTGAATCGTACAATGATGTGACGATATCATACGAAATCCCAAACTTGCGTACCCTCTTACCTATATTCTTGTCCCAAAAACGTTTAACAATCAAATGCGACGATCAAAGGACGTCTTTGTTTTGTTACGGTAGAGGCAATTGTACGTACGTTTACCCTTACAAAATAAATGATCCGTCCCACACCAGACCACCACGGAAAATGGCGACTGTGAAATAGATGGAAGACGAAAGTAAGAAATGATTCAATGCAGCGTTTAATTTGTGCCCTGTCTTCGTCCCCACCACTCGGAGGTAACGTGTGATTGTTCTTCATCATTATATTGATGTCGGTGTAATGAGTAGCGAGGGGCGATTGTCATTAGCTATAGTTTAGCCCCCAGGAATAGGCTCTGCTATGGAACAGTCTTGTGGAATTGTCCGCAGCTCCGGCGAGCAGCATCCGACAACACAGCGTGACACAAACGCCGAGGATACACAACGTTACCCTCGCGGAACACGTTGCAAACGGTCGCATGTGTTCTGCGCGTACGGACGTTTTGAAACGCATCGCAGCCACTGCTGTTTGCTGTAGCTAAACTACAGTGTTGAAAGTTTTAACTGTACAAAATCGACAACCGTACATCAAAAGCCAGTGACGAGGTTCGTTGCAGTTGTGTTGCTGCTTTGTAAGTGTTAGAAAGAGCTCTCTCTGCCACAGGAGCGTTCACTCAGTGTGACACTTTTATTGCCCTTCAAATCTAAGACCTCTCACTGTTACGACCTTGTACTGTTGTAAAAGGCTTCAATTAATCATCTCAGCAGTGTCAAGTAGTATTTTCAGCCCTACTTATTTTGTATTCAATGAATGCTCATTGAGTAAGGAAGAGCAGTGTCATTGTAAGTAACTAGATAATATAGTTTTATGTCAAAAGCGCACAATATAATCACTAGGAACTACATATTGGGAACTATAACTCGTAAGTAACATTGAATATTGGACTTCTAAAACCCCAAATATAACTGTTATGCCTGTGGCATATACCTAAGCATGCTAAAAGTGTTAATTGTAAGCGTGATTAGATGGTTGAAGCATCTCCACCGCCATTGACATTTGCATTTAGGGCTTGAACTAATCTTTACTTTCATTATTGATCAATCTGTTTTATTTCTCGGAGTATGAAATATTCGAGAACAGTGAAAAAGTTCCCTTAATATTTTCTTGAATATGCAAAATTCCGGTTTAAGAGCTTGTCTCAACGCGGCTCTCGACATCAGCTAACCGTGCTAACGGCACAAACACCGTAAGCAGCATCAGCAGTGCTGACAGCAAGACGTAGCTCCTTTCACACCGCGAATCTGCAATACTGCTGTAAACAATATCCGCTGTTGCTTTTTTTGACATCGAACTGAACGTCGGCAGCACAATGCGATGCACCCTTGGCCCGTGGGAGCGAAAGAGGTGTTGCGTTTAACACAACAGTGTCGGCGCTGCAATGCACCTGCTTTCCCTTTTCACACAGAATCGGGCTCAGCTCTGTGACTACCTCGGGCTGCTGGCCCGGCGGCAGAACCACCCCGTCCCTCCGCTCTGCCTCTTGTAACAGAACGGCAAGGCCGGACGGCGGCGCAACCTTCCCAGCGTTGCACAGGCCTTTCGAAAAGCATCTAGTGGTTAGCTGTGGTGTAACCAAAGGGCTGGCCTTTCGCTTTTGCGACGCCGCCATTGGTTGGGACTGAATTGCCACGGGTTTGCCACCGTATGAGCAATGTCAAGAGTAGTTTGTTTATTTATCGGATGTGGCACACACTGGGGCTTTGATGAATACACACAGCCAGACGAAAACCATGTGTTGACGTTACCATTTCCAGATCGCACAGATCGTGATGCCAGCCCCAAATGACTTTTGCCCCATAGACTTACATCGGGAAAGTGACGTCTGTAACGCCAAGAATAATTGATTTTTTTTGAGGCGCTCATTTAGATCACTACTTCCTAAAAATTGGAAAATGCCCAAAATAGCTGAATCCGATGTTATTCTTGTCCTACGTTCATGTGAATGAGCCAGAGAACAAGGCTGGTCCAAGGGCTGTGAGTTGGAGTTTAAGGAAACTTTAGTGCACTTGATTTTTCTGAGATGTGTAACTTATTTGGTGCCACTGAGCAAATGTCATAGTTTCCTCCAACCTTGCATCCAGCTCTCTTTATACAGCCATAGGCTGGAATAACATACAAGAGATTGCATTACAACACATCCAGAGGGAGACTGACTTACATTTCTTCTCAGAAAGCCATAACTTCACTACATTGCAAACATTGCCCCTTTTTAAACCAATGTGACAACTTCAATTTACTTGTGTTGTCTGACCAACTGTCCAAACCAAAATGTTTTACTGTGACATATACCAATGGAAAGCAACATATCGTCACAATTTATTAGGCATCTATGGCGGGACCAGTAGAACATCTACCACATAATCATAAATAAAGGGGTGTGGCAAATTATTTTAAGTATATCTGATGGTATTTAAAGTTTCCTTTAGCACTAGCTTCAGGGCAGACTTGCAGTACGGTACAAATCAACTGTGGAGGTGTTTAACATTCAAATGGATTTTACCTAGTTAAGTGGTTGAACGAAGAAGAAAAATCCATATCAAGCCAAACATTAGATTTTAAGATATCTTGGGAGCAAATAGACATTTCATTTGACGATTTAGTGCCATGAAGTATCAAAGTTGTGGAGAATTTCCTTAAGGTGCCGTTGAGATCGACTTGCGCGTCAATTCCCGGTAGATTACTTCGTACCATGATTGAAATTTGTCTTCCGTTTATCTCACAATCATTGCGAGAAAAGTTGCCTTCAGTTTTACAATCCTGAAGCCGTCCAGGCAAGGCGGTCTCTTTATGTTTGAAATGGTTACCCAGATCTACCCAGATCAGTTTACATTTAGGCTAAATGGATGGGATGCTACAGTGATAACTGTTGGTTCTGTAGTCAAACACTTGTGCTTGAGGATTATCTAAGAAGGATGTACCTTTTTTTTTCAGGCCATGGCAGCTGAAATGTCATGTCTAACAGGTGTTGATGAAGACGACAAAGATGCAGATCCTGAGATCAATGCCCTCACGCTCCTGCAAGAGCCAGTTAGAATGGCACAAGATTCAGCCTGTTGCACAGATTCTTTTGGGAAAACCTCTTTGAAACAAAACAGTGTTCTAGATGTTCTGTCAAACACAGATATGTTGTCTCCGGTTGGCCTGGGAAATGGACCTTCTTCTCATCAGGCCACACAAGCCCATGAACTCAACATCTCCACAGACAAAGAGGAGGCAAAAAGCATCACCCCACTAAAAACTGTGCAGGAAATTGATACTGCAGGAATTTGGGGTTTTGATGAAGATTCACCTGATAACTCATTGGATAATTTTAGTAGCGCGAGTGACCTTCATTGGGACCCTCACAAAGAGTTTATGCAGTTTCTGTGGGAGAACCATGGCGATTCACCCGGTGAGGAGTCAAAAGATGAAGTCCCATCTCCCGACCACCAAAGGAGAAGGAAGCGGAAAATGGACATGGTTGTTATGGTGGATCCCTCAGAAAACCTTTACCCTGATCTGAGCCACAAGCCATCTGAGGAACTGTTGGATGCTGAAGACCAAGTAGATTCCATTCCTGTCACGAAAGTCAGAAAGTCAAGAAAGTTCTCCAACTCACAGCCGTCACCAACAGGGAAGGTTTCTACATATCCCAATGGAACTGCAAAGGCCATCCAGGAAATTCTTTACAATGCACCTGCAAGAAATTCACACGAGAACAGTATAGGTCATGGGCTTTCCCCATTGAAGGGGAGGCTCACCGTGAAGTCTCTTTCAGAGGAAAAGCCATCATGTTATCCCTGCTCAAAATGTAAGCTCATTTTCAAGAAAGAGTATCATTTGCATTGCCATATGAAGTCTCACGTCGATTCTCCAAATATCTCGCCAAAGCCTTTTATATGCCGAGAATGTGGACAGTCTTTTAGGCAAAGTTTTACGCTTATTGAGCACATGTCCATCCACAAAGATAAAATGGCAAGACTTTCTGAGGAGATCAAAAGCGTGAATGATAAGAAGAAGGTGGACAAAAAGAAGCTATTCTGCCCTCAGTGCACATTTGTGACAAACTGCCCAAACACATTTGTTCAACATGCAAAAACGCACGAGAAGGACAAGAGAAAGTTTAGATGTGACAAATGTAGCTTCAGGACAATGACTGAGATGGAACTTAGGAGACATAACATTATGCAGCATACTGTTATTACTGCTGGAAAGGACATTCAGAATGATGACTCTGAAATCTTCTCCTGTCACATGTGTTCTTATAAAGCTATTGGCGAAACTGTTTTTAAGAATCACCTTCTGCGCCGCCATCAAAAAACGTTAGAAGAAAACGAAGCTGAACAGTGTAGTGAGAAAAGTGCACAACCATCAAAGGAGTTCCACGTACCGCCCGCTAAAACTTCTGTTGAAGATGCAGAGATTACATCTAAAATCTCTATTAAAAATCAGATCCCCTCCAAAAGAGCTTGTTCACCTGATGACTCCAGTGACATTTCAGATTTATTCAAAAATAGCAAGATAAAGAGAGGTCTCAAGTCTCAATTAACTGAGTCAAAGCTGGACAAATCCATAAATGTTCTCCTGTCCCGACAAAGGCATGGGAAGAAAACTCCGGACCGATGGAAGGGTGGCAATAATCTCCAAACATTTGTTCAGGATTCCAAAGATAACAATGATTGCCCTGATCCGTTACCAGGAGCTTTGACTATCAAGGTCGAAGACTCCGCTTCGCCCCCAAATGGCCATAGGATGACGTCCAATGCCGAAATAGACCAGTCCCCGGTCAGAAAGTCGCCATCCAAAAGGAAGATGTCCACCCCATATCGCAACACCTCTGACCAAGACTCATGCTTCATCTTACCAAAACATCTGCCAAGTCCCAAGAGAATGAACCAAGAAGACGAAGACAACGAGGAGGAGGAGGAAGAGGAGGAAGAAGAAGAAGTGGAGTCACACTGTAAAGAAAAAGACATTTTCCAGTTTAGCGATACAGATGCAGACACTGACCTTTTTGACAATGGTATCAAGAAAGAAAAACAAAGCATAATATATACCTATAGCAGAAGAATGTCGATGAGGGGTGCACTGCAGGCGTCTAAAAGGCTATTTGAGAAAATAAAGACTGAAGAGCAAGACCAAACCGACCCTGAAATCAAAGAAGAATGCATCGAAACAGAAATATTCCAAGAGACCATTGACTCCCACCAAACGCCGCTGAGCGACAACTTCGCTGAGGAGTTTGATTTGGAGTTGGAATCCGATGGCAAGAACTGCCCATACTGTCCGGCAGTTTTTGAATCTGGCGTTGGATTGTCCAATCATGTTCGAGGGCATCTCCATAGGGTCGGACTGAGCTACAACGCACGGCATGTAGTTTCTCCAGAGCAGGTGGCCTCTCAAGATAGAAGGCCACGAATTCGCCGAAAGATGTCATCGTTCAGGAGATTGAAAAAAGGTAAAGATTTTGAAACGTAGCATTATTAATAAAAGTAGGTCCACTAGGGAAACCAACAACCATGGGTCAGACAATTGTAGTTGTAAACAACTCCAGATTTGTTAATTCTTTAGATGAAAAGATAAGCGCTAATTAAATGACGTATTGTCTCCACCAGTTTACAATTCAAGATCTTAAGTAAACTACAAGGGCGACTGTGGGTGAGTGGGGAGCACGGTCGTCCTCCAATCAGAGGGTTGTCGACTCGATCCCAGGCTCTGCTAACCCACGTGTCGTTGTGTCCTTGGGCAAGACACTTAACCCAACATTGCTCCTGTAGCTGCGACTACAGTGTGTGAATGGTAGTTACTGATGGGCAGGTGTCACTGTGTATGGTTCTCCTGTCATCAGTGTGTGAATGGGTGAATGATGTCATGTAGTGTTAAAGCGCTTTGATTGGTCAGAAGACTAGAAAAGCTCTATACAAGTACAGTCCATTTACCATTTACTATAAGTACACTATGTAACGTCTTTTTAGCCATTTCTACCGAGATCCCAATAATCATTTGATGAGTTCAAAGTTGTCACTACCAATTAAACCAGTGGATAACGCAGCAAAAATAAGAGTATTTCAAGAAGTAAAAGTCTATTGTGTTGTACTTGTATTGTTACATTTTTCTGGCATTTTTATTCTTGTTTCAGTTTTGCAGCTGGAGTCCGAACCTGAGACCGTAAAGAGCATTCACTCATGTCCCCTGTGTGGGGACTCATTCGATAACAGGACTGGACAGTCCAACCACATACGAGGCCACCTCAAAAAGCTTGGTAAAAGCTTTGCAACAAAAAACAAATCCCCATTATATTTACTCCGGGAGTTAATGCGCGACAAGAAGGAGTTCCAGCGGGCTCTCCAAATTCTGGGAAAGAGGCGAAACCATTTCCAATATGGTGCATCACCAAAGGTGTCCAATGTAGATCGTTTTGCGTCGTTGCCCATCGGAATCCCCAAAAGCGATCCTTTTCCAAGCGGTTGCTCTGACGCCACACCGCTGATGTCCACATTCTCTTCAGTGGAAATGGAATCTGAAAAAAAGCCGCTAGACACTAAGTTGGACGTTAAGAACCCCCTCTCGGAGACGACTGCCTTGATAGGAATTCTGAAGAAGAGGAAGTGTCAGGAAGACGGCAGAATAAAGGGGTCTTCTCAGATGTCAAGAAATCTGTTGTCAGTTTCTTTAAACAGTGAGCACAGTTCAGGATCAAGAGTTGGTTCTTCAATGCCAAAGTCGGTCTGCGGTAAGTAACTTCCTCAGTAGTAACCAGAAAGTAAGATTAGAAGTGGAATTCTATACTGAAAGATGTTTGGATTAATTAAAAATCCAGTAATCCTCTTGATATTATTTATTGTCAGAAAATGTGCTGATATTGGACATTGAAATTCATTAGGTGTGCAGTGTTTTTAAATGTTACTGTACTTCAATATGATTTCTTTTTTTGTATGTGCCAACGTAGGTCATGCTGATTTTAAATGTAGTTCACCTGAGCCAATATTGGAAAGTCAAAATATTGGTCTGACACTGCTAGGTTATCAGAAGTAAAAAAATAAAAATAGTAAATGTATTACCTCAAGACTACTAGTAAAGATACTCTTCATTAGCGTTTGAAAGCTTGTGAGCGGTATTCAAAACTTTCTCATTATGTGGGTTAATCTGATAATAACATTGCACTAACCAGAGTAGCAGAAATGATGCACGCATAGTTTGTTATAGGGAACACAAACATTGACAAAACAAACATTCATTCTAAAATGTGTGATTTTAATAAATTGTAAACGTGCTAAACAATCTTTCTTTATCATTTCACTTATTGGTTTCTCTTATATGTATTTTGTGTCTTTTTACAGAGAAAGGTGAATTCAACAGGAAGATGTGCGTCCACTGTAATGCAACTTTCCACAGTGGAGTTAGCTTGTCTAACCACCTCCGGGCATATACAAAACGAAAAAGGAATGCCCTCATTGAGGGAAGCAGTAAGTGTCAACAGCTTAGGTTGAAGACAATGAAAACAGCGTTGATGTGTGACCATTGCTTCGCAAATCAAAATCTGTTGGTTTTGTTGTGCAGAAGTTAATATTCCCTCCACTTCGTGATGATCCAATCCTGATAGTGGTGTCTCTGGGTTTGTTATGCATTCCACTTCACACATTTGTTAATATTTGATAGGTGGGAAAACCGGTGAAGGTTACCATCATTGTTGCTGTACCAGTGACAAATTGAAACTTCGATTACGGAACCTGAACTTTTTTTTTTTGGAAGAGACAGAACTTAAAACGTGTTCAAATAGTTAGACCCACAGGAGCAGTCCAGCAGCTGTATTTACATTATTTTTGGTTCTTTCTTCTGCCAGTTTAAGTTGCTGATTCTGGTCTTTGCTGAATGAAACACTGTAGGTATGTCAGCAGAAATCTAGGACTGATTCCTCAAGAAAGCTTTAGCTAAAGCTGTCTGTGGGGGCCCTAAAACCACAAGAGGTTGTCATGTCCAAATTACAGTTATAATTAGTGTACCAGTGGTTATTTGTGTCGTTCCTCAAGGTAATGATCCAGAAGGGCGTCGGCAAGTGTGATATTCATGGCAGAAAGCGCTTAGGCCTCACTTTTCCTTTGGCCATAGATCCTCACAACTATATCTTGAACCAAGTGTCATAGCTACACTGTATTGGGCCATACAAAAAAGACACAGAGCCCAACCATTCATGAGTGTGAATGAAGTGATGGCTAATGAGGTCCGGGCATCCAAAACCCAACTGTGCTGACATCTCAAAACACTGTACAGTAATTAAGTGAATTCCTGGCTTGCAGCATTCGACTGTAAAGCAAGGAGGCAACGCTCAAGGCCTGGCTCAAAGAAGAAGACGCTGCCCTTACCACAAACTCCAGAGGAAATGTACAGGCTCACCTGCAGGTAATGCTTGTATTTCCTTTATAGTATATGAATATAGCATTTAGATATCTGAACGGTGGATAGTATTGCATCTGCTGCCCAGCAGCACTTCAACAGTGATTGTTGCCCAGGGTAACCACATTTGGAGCGATGTCAAATATTTGTTGTGGTTTGCTTCTGTTAACTTTATTTGTGAAACGAGAACTGCCCAGATGACTCTGTTTATCTGCATGGATGTACCCCGAAAAGGTTGAAGCGGCAAGTGAACTGATACATCACCAACAATCATTGTGATGACCTTGCATTGTCAAACAATGGCTGAAATAATACTGGAACAACTAAATCTAAACAAAGCTAGCTGGACAGCAGAGGCCCAGTAAAAGAAAAGAAAAGAATTGTTTGCTCAGACTTAGTGTTACAAGACTCATCGGAATCATAACAGTATGTGTTAGTGTTACAGGTATTTGATTATAAACCAAATTATTATTAAAATGTAAATGTTCACTTAGTGGTAGATGAAACATTAAGGGATCACCACAGTTATTGAAATGAATCCTGATGGTGGCATCCAATCGTCTTACTCTGGATCTGGTGAAGACCAGTACTCCCATCCCAGACCCCGCTGGGCGCATGGCTACGGAGCTCCAGCGTGGTGGTCTATTATTTGTCTGTCTCTTCTTCTCTTAACAGGTTCTGTGACCTCGTCTTCCAGGGTCCCTTGTCGGTCCAAGAGGACTGGATCAAACACTTACAGAGACACATTATGAACACTAGCGTCCCTCGCACTGGGCTAAGCATGGTAGAGGTCACCTTGCTGCCCGCGGACCCCCCGAGCCTCAAGACTGACCAAGACAGCCCTCTGACAGCCACACACGGTGCTTCATGAAGCCAGTGGGGATCTTTTTAGAGTTCACTGACCTGTATGTTTATGTACATTAGATGTTCCTTCACTTTTTTTTCCACTGAAATACTGGCCAAAAGTACAATATTGCTCAGTGATGGGAGTTATTGAGCATGTTGAAAAAACGTGTTAATTATTTTGGACTTTAGTATTTCCGTTTCTACATGGTCAATTTTTTGGAAATACAATTCCAAATGGACTGACTGATTATGTTTTAATGCAGTGTGGAATCCATTTATAATGAAGACAACTTTTACCTCAGATTTATCATGGTTTGAGTCAGTTTTGTCAACATGTGTGTGCACCTCTTCTGTATCAATATTCACATTTAATACATAGAATAACGTTTTTCTTTTGTATTGCAACACATTTGAATTCAAGCCCACACCCTGTTTTAATCCCAGAGTGGGTGAGATAAATTATAATGAAAAAGAAGGCACCTGAAAGCTCACAATTGGAGAAAAGAACAAAAGAGAAATGTCTGAAAACTTGTTATACATAGAAAGTGTTTTATAGTATTTCAATAACTGAATTGTTTCTAATACAAATACAAAATTAAAACTGATGGTTAAGAAAAATACATTCGGCACAGCCAGTGTTGACAAAGCCCTTCATACAGGTCACCTATATTTAATGTTTAAAATATACTGGTTTTCAAATAATTTTATTTTCAATGTACTATATCACAAAGATACAATGCTTAAAACATGTGTTCTAAATAAAAAATAAAAAAACAAGATGCCTTTTTTTTTACATTTAATTTATACAAACAATGAATCAGTCAATTCACAAAATGACTAACTGACCAAAATGTGATGGACGGCCTGTACAAAGATACAAGAAAATCCATATTGTGTGAACAAAATACCTCCATTTTAATCAGAGTAAACAAGCATTCTAAGTGACGTACTGTACATCAGTGGCACATCAGCATTTATATGTGGCTGTGATAGATGTTTAAAGCAGCTTCTCGGTGTAAACAGGATTTCAGTCTTCCGATTACTTCCATCATTCAAATGGGCTGCCGCCCTGAAAGAAAAGAAAACAATCTTAAAAAAGCGATCTGACAGTGACTGCCAGGGAAAGTCCTAATAAAGTCCATTTTAATGGTTTATACAAGTGGCCCTGGTGGAAACTAAGCTGGTGCTACTAATATAAAGAGTACTAAGGCTGAAAAGCTACGCATTGCTTAAAAAGACGCAGTCAGCGATAGTAATAAAATACATTAAAATTTGTCAAATTCAGCGAGTATCTTCTCAGTCTGCTATCAGTCCATTCCATGTCCACTGAAATCAATCTGGTGTTCATGCACAGCCCTGCCTCTGTAAAAGGGAAACAAACAATGTGCCGTGGACAACACGGGGCCTGCATGCTGGCGCACATGAAGAGACGTGGGTCGGTTGATCTATTAGTATTGGCAACTCAACTTAAAAAAGGTAATTATGTCAGACATCTTATTTTATAATTTTTTTAGTAAATTTGAAAAATGTGTTGTTTCCTTTTTGAATGCACTAACCACATAAATATGGGAGGAAATACAAAATAAAACATACGTTTATCCAGTATCTTGTAGACAAATGGATTGGAAATGATAATGCCGCTTTTCAGGAAATGAATTAGTACTATGCAAACTATATTAGGTAAGAGAATGATCCCCTAAATTAAATGAGTATTGCTTGTACAAATTCTGAAATGGAGGAAATATTTACCAAGAAAGTTTCCCTCTGTTTTCCTATGCTCAGTTCCTTCTGTTCCTCTTTGTCATTAGTTTTACTGTGTTTGAGATGTCTGCATTCTTGAAAAGTACCTTCAGAAAGTGTTCAAACTGAGGTTTCAGCTCCTTCATCATGGTTTCTGCTTTGTCAAGGCAAGAACGTCTCTGCCGCACATGAAACCCCTGCAGGAAATCCATCAGTATCATAATCATCCTCTTTTGAACTCATCCTTTCAAGGGCCAATGTCGAATAAACAGACCAATGAATAATGTTTCATGCTACTTTACAGTAGTGCTACCTTTATGTTGCTGAGGTGCTCCTGAGAAGTAATGTGGGTCTGGACTGAGGATGCAGATGTTGATACAAAGATACTGCAAGCTGCACAGTGGAACACTTCAATCTTTGTCATGTGGTCATTTTCCTGCAGAGCTTAAGAAACAAAGTTCAGGCTGTAGTTTTTTTTTTTTGTCTCAGACAGAAAAATACTGGAACACGAACAGTGCATCTTTCACAGTTCTTAAAGATAGTCACCTTGAAGCGCACCATCCTCTATAGCTCGGCTGCACTGATGGCTTTTATACTGCATGACTTCCTATAGACATAAAAAACTTCCATCACCACCCAGTCGCACCAACATCTGTTTCAACACAGGATGCACAGTATTTGCATTGTGGTACCTGTAGGAAGGCTATAGCCAGATCATCATAATTATTTTGCTGCTGGATGTGCTCCAGGGTGTCCCAATGACCCTTGCTCTCCAAATGATCGTCCAGCTCCCCACCATTGGCTAACTCAACTTCACAAAGGTCACAAGTGATGGGTCTCCTTGAAGAAAAACCATTAAGTGATGCAGAAAATGACAGGTAGAACACTTGTTGTTGCTATGAGTTCACTGTGAGTGGGATGTGAATATGCTACATGTAAAATTTTAAATGATCGCGCAACGGTGTCTTACTTGTCCATTACTATTTTTATGTTGCAGTTTTTTGAATCCTCTGTGAAAGGGGAGACTTGGTCCCGTTCTGTAAAACAATATCATAGACATAATTATTATTAGTCTCACAGAGGAAGGGCACAAACATATATTAAAAACAAAAGCATTGATTTACTCATTCAAAAGAACATTATTATACTCAAAAAAAAGAATCCATGCGATGTTTCTACTATATTTATTTGAACATCTACTGTAATGTATTTGAAATGGTGAAATACAAAACAAAAGTACCTGTTCTCAAGTATTTCGACTGGTGATAGTCCTGCTGTAACCTGGGTGGGGATAATCTAACAGTGGTGTTCATCTACAAAGGAGACAATGGGCTTTGATCAGTAACAAGTATTGTGTGTTATCCCTGTAAATAAATATCTAATACATCCTTAATGAGTATAAATAAATTAGTATAAATATCACAATTGAGTTTTGTTTTTTTAGAAAATAATGAACAAAGTTTCAACAACTGTCTTTTTGGTGATACCTCTCTTTCGTAGTCTGGGAGGATTATACTCTCCTCCCCGTTGGTCATCTGTCCTCCATAAATTGCAGGAAGGTTTTGGGCAGAGGAGGCGTGAATAAGCCTGTCAGGGCTGCAGACCCTGTGGTCTAAATGTCTGCTTATGGAGTCATAACCCGGTCGTTCTCTATGACTTGGACTGACACTTTGACTTTGAGCGGATCTGGTTTCAGGGTCAAAGTCACTTCTGTCGAGGGATTGGTTTACTGACTCGGAGTAGCTTGATCCCCAGCAACGCTTTTTACCGAAGCCTCTACTTGGAGACGAACACTGGCCGTAATCCTCATTAGGTGGGGATTCGTTGTGGTTTTGGGCATCTAGCATCCCTGGCTCACAGTCAGACAAGTCTTGGTTGTAAGGATCATATATTTCAACCCTGGGAGAGACAGATGACAGATTAAAATGTGTGCGTGTTAATGCAATTTACTACTACATAGATCATTTATAAGTGTATAAGAACATTAACCACTGAATGCTTACACAAAATAAAGTATGTTTCAGGCATTTCCCAGTTTATACATCCTTGATTCCTAACTTTCCCTCCTCTCCTGCCGTCTAAAATATTTTGCTGGATTTTGTCGGGCGACAGTCATTTAAAAAACGACATCCTTGACACTGCGCCATCGTGTTAACGCCCCGTCAATTAAATATGTGTTCTGGCACACCTGCATCAGCTGTTCTTTGTTTTGTTACACCGCTCCTTCTTATGGTGTGCACGGATGAGCATAACAACGTTCATGACATCTTAGACATTTATGTAAATTGGCTGTTTCATAATGGGTTGTTGCTCCTTGACATGTATTTTAGGAATTGGGACATCTTTGGAGATGATCTTCTGAGACTGATTTCCAGGTCACAAGCAGAAGGATCGAGGAAGGAGGCCGGCGGAGAACAATGGAATACTGTAAACAATCACTGACTGGCTTACCTTGGTGATCTGTCAGGGCTTTTCTCCTGAGAGTCATCTTGTTGTCCCAATGGCTTGAATGAAGACCTCCATTTATCATCGGAAGGTTTCACTGTTTATTTCAAAAAGGTAAATGGCAATGAAGACATCATATTTTAACAGACTGGTCAGATCCTAAAGCTAAAATATTAGAGTTACCCTTACCTAAAGTTTAAAAAAGCAATCCTTTATTAGTTACTGTGACAATAATTAACACGATAAACCCAAAGGATGATGGTGGGAAAGGGATCTAAATCGGAGGAATCTCAGCAGTTTCAGGCCCAAATTGACGAAAGGGGTATTTTCACACATGCAGAAATAATTAATATCAGGTAATATCAGTAAACAATACAGCAGATGGTTAGTTGTACCTAAGCTGCCTCATGTGGCCTCATTAGGTGTAAACCCCGAGGCCCGTTTCTAGGTGTGTCTTCATGTCACTAACATTACCTGCACGTTCTGGGGCTGGTTTGGTTTTAGCACCCACGTCACGTACGCTGTTGTTTTTGTGATGTGCCAGCTTCACTGGGACGTGTAGCATTGCTTCTTTGAAGTCCTTCGGTATTCTATTCATCACAGAAAAACACATGTACCCATTGAACCGAACACGAATGCAAACGTCAACAAATCAAGCTAGCGAGTTGCAGCAGTTGACTTAAACAGTTTAGCATGTTGTGCTATTAGCATTAGCTACACGGAGTGGCGTGACGTTGAACACTTTAAATAACGTTTGAGGCAGCGGTTGGTGCTGCGATGGACGAAGACACAATGCCGCGATGTCAGACTAAATGTTTACTGTTTACGCGACGTGTTTAATGTGTGAAACCTTCTCAGATAAAACAACGTTCGGCACATTCGCCACCGTTGAGACCGCAGCGCCGGGCTAACGTTACCTTCCGAGCGGCTGTTGAACTGTGTACGCCGGAGCTCCCGGGGGGATTGACGGAGGGTTCTTCTGACGCTTCATCATCTGGTTTCTGAGTAGGAGAAGATTTGGGACGCAGGGACGAGAACTTCGCTCACTTACAAACTGTTAACCGACAAGCGGCATCTTCCAATAGATGGCAGCACAATACACAGATGGAGCTGAGCCGCGTAACGGGGGTCTCTGAAGGAGGCCTAAAAGCCACAGGTTCAATGTTTGGGGTAGTTAAATGTAATAATTGTGTATGTTTAAAATATGCACCACTAAAGTAACACATCAGATTACATCTTTGCAGCGTTGACGTGGTCCTGCACTAGTCTTGCCCCAACTGTGCAGTTGGCAATTTCCTGTACTGGTAATACATTTGTGGTGAACTAAATTACAACAGATAAACGGTCAGAAGTGGCCAACATCTCCTTTCTGAACCACCAGTGGATTAATCTGGTCATGATTACATAAAGATTATGATCTTTACTGACACTGACACAACTTTGAAAGACATTGCAAATGTTAGTATCAAGTTATACTGCAGTGTTTATAAATGTCAGATAATCATCATGTTCCCAGTGAAAGCCAACCCATGTACGGCACAGCGGACTGGTCCGATGGGATGTAGAATATGTGCATATCTTCTGTAAGATGAATACACTACATCTACCTTCATCATATTAAACACCAGCTGATCAAGATTGTGGATAAAGTGGTTTAAGCCTAATAGACCAGAAGCTATGTCAAGACAAAAAACACAGCTTCTATACTGTCAGTATAGTGGAATCACATCATGTGGCCTCATTTTCTTGATTTTAAGGTGTCTCATTGTAGAATTAACAGGTTGAGATCATCGCCTTCCTCACTGAAGTCAGTTTGACCTTGTCCACTCTGTCTGTTGATGGCATTGACAAATGGTTCATGGCTCGGGGGCTTTGTGGGGGGACTTATTTTGTGAGTATGTTGAGTATACCCTTTCCACGTTTTGACTTTATGAATGTGGGTGTGACTAATGGCTGATAACCATACTACCTTACAATTTAGTATGGCAGAAAAGAATTTAGCGTCCCAATGCATTCAATGTCAAATCCAGTGAGCCAAAAGGAACAGAATTTATTTCTGCATGACGTTGCAGTTTGCAGGCACGCATGTTTTTCTGGCTATTCTGATTTATAATCCTCTGTGCAGCAGATAAACGAGCAAAGGGTGCAAGTGCAATCAATCATAACAGAGCTGTGTCATAACAAAGAAACATGTCCAAAATGAACACATACTGCATGCAACCATATGTACTCTGTGAGGGCAAGTGCAGTTTGTCCTGAAGGAAAAAGAAAGTGTGATTCTTAACGCAGCTTAAGTGTTTAGTGGAGTGCGTCTTAATTACATGAATTATTAGACGTTCATCTAAAATCGTGTTTTATTGTGCCATAAAGCTGTGAACTTTGAGCATAGAATCAGAAGGGTGGTACAGCAGTTCGGAAGAACACATACTGTATATATAGCCCAAAATAGAAATACATTGAAAAGAATGAAGGCAGACGTGTCATCATTGTTCAATTCTGACATGTTAAATAATAAGTCCTAATGGTTTTATAACACATTACAAATTTAAGAGCTGGGTTAAAAAGAGTTTGCTTTTATCATCTAATTTTGGTTTGGGACCATGTTATTACAAAGAACATTCACTGATCTTTACATAAATATCTTTTCAATGTGCAAATGAATTACTAAAGGCCTTGGTATACAATCTCTACAACAGGGAGTTAAAGGTTCATTTCTGGTGCTTGGTCTCCATCTGAGTTTGTAACTCATTCCTTTGGCTGCAAGATATCGAGGAAAATAAAGGTTACATTAAATAAAAGTAAAAGCTGCTTAAAAAGAGGTGCTCCATTGTGTCATCTTCTATAACATATATACATTGCTTGGTGGATAGTTTATACGTATGAAAAGAAATTGACAAGAAAACATTCAATATTCATTTTGGGGAAGACCTCACTGTAAAAAAAAAAGCAGCAGTTAAGGCAAAACGATTGTTCCCCACGGTTACAATTATACCTGAGTAAGAACGACAATGATAAATATACATACTGTGTCACTGGAGTTAACAGTTTTGGTCAATATAGGGTTAAATAGAGAAGCTAGATTTCTAATGTGTTATTTACTCAAAGCTATTAGAAGCCTAAATGCCAAAAAGTTGCTGAATTACATACTCAGCCAGTTTCATTCTTAATACACTCAAGCAGCTTAGTCAACACAATAATCCAGAATAATTAATAATCAAAAACTTTAATCATTTTTGTGAATATTATAGCAGTAAAGAGTCTACTATTACATCCATTTCGCAGGCTTTCATGAATCACGAGTCACGTTTTCTGTGCTATAAGCCATCCGCGAAGGACGCGCTGGTCTCTCGGCTGAAGTTCTCCTTGACTTCCACAGGCAGCGCGTCAAACAGATGGTCCTCCACCACCAGGCCGCTTTTGCGCAACAGGCGGCAGTTTCCCAGCTGGACGGGCAGTCTGTCCAGACAGTTTCCTCTCAGCTCCAGCTGAGTGAGCTGGACCAGTTGACCCGCGGCCTCTGGCAGCACGTTGAGGGCATTGTTCCCCAGACACAACGCCTTGAGCTTGGTACATCTGAACAGAGACTTGGGCAGCACCTCCAGCTTGTTGGAGTTGATGGCCAAGTGCTGCAGATTGTGGAGGAGACCCACGTCTGGCGGGAGCACAGAGATGGAGTTGTGGCCAACGTCCAAGTACCTCAGTTTAGGTAGAGTGAACAAGGATGGAGGCAGGGACTCCAGTTTGTTGTGGGAGAGGTAGAGAGACTCCAGTGACTTGACCTGGCCAATGGAGGATGGGATGGTGATTATTTTGTTGTGCCACAGTTTAAGACACGTCAGCCTCTTGAGATGCTGGAAGCTGATGATCTCCTCTATGGTCCGGATGTTGTTCGATTTCAGGTCAAGTTCCTGCAAATTGATCAAGCTAAAAATAGCATGGGGAATCCTCTCCAGTTCGCAGGTGTGCAGCTCCAGTTCAATTAGATTGGTCATTTTTTTCAGACTATTTAGTACCACCAATTTTGTACCATCGTTGTGCACCACAAGTTTAATCAGATGCGGCGACAGCTCTGTGATGTTTGTTGGCATTTTTGTGAGGTTGCTCTTCAGGCAAAGCGTCTTTAAATGCCTCAAATCCCGCATGGACTCCAGGCCGATCATTTTGTTATTTTCTGAGCTCAAGTTGCCAATTAGGTTAAGTTCCCTTAAACTCCTCAGCAAATACACCCACGCCGGGATCTCAGCAACATCGGTGAACTTGACATGAAGGCAGCGGAGATGGTCACGGAGGAAAGCAAACCCTGTCTGCTCTACTTTGGCCGGAGAGTGGCAGAGGTGCAGCTCCAGCAGGTTGGTCATTTGGGAGACCTTCGCTGAAAACCTCACCTCAGGGATCAGCTCCAGTTTCAGCACTTCCAACTCTGTGAGGTCGAACACTGCGTTGGGAAGACCTGAGAGCATGAAAAGGTGCAGCTCCTGCTGGTCCACTGCGTTACGGGTCACGAGCTGCCGGAGTTTCTCAAAGGTCCACTCGTGATTAAGGCTGATCTCTCTAAGCTTATTTTCACTGACCTCTGACAAGAAGACACCAAAGCGCTTGGAGTACAGTTGGTCATACTGGTCAACCATGTGTAAGAGGAATGCAAAGTCATTTTTGACATCAGGAATGTCACTGAAGCTGCTCTCCTCTCGGACTTTCTCGAATGAGTACTCTTTCAAAGGCCGTCGAAACACCCAGAAGAGAGAGTACAAGCATGCCATCCCGTAGATCAAAATCAAAGCCATGTAGCTAATGAGCAGTTTGTTTAGCATGAAAGCCATGTTATGCGTACAGAAGAACTTTGAGTACCCTGTTAGCTGTTTAATATCAGGTTCACAATCATGCTTAAAATTGATTTTAGCTAAAAAGGTTGAAGTGTAGGACAATATCAAAATGAACTTGACCGTTTTCACAACAGTCTGTGCTACATAAAGCTTGTAGATGAAATCACTGTCCTCCACGTGAGCTCGGAATTTTCTGACTTTCTCAAACAAGGCTTTGGCCTGCTCGCCGTCTTTCTTGTCCAAGATTGTCATGCTACTTGGTACCTCTGCTATGGGCTTATCTGCAGAGAACTTCACCCCGAGCATGGGTGTGGATGAGTTGACATTTGTGCCTTCGTCTTTCCCCTCTAGAGACACCTGCTTTGGTACACTGGAGGCGCCGGTCAACCGCTGTTTGTTCTCCTCAGAGTCCTCACAAGCCGTTTCAGACAAAGCCTTCGTGGTCCAGGGAGACTCAAAGCATCTACCTAAAATCGAAACAAAATGCTCAATTTTTGAGCTCGTTTTGGGGTATTTGAACCAGAAATTGCTACTGACCATGAGAACAATGGTGTGTATGAGTGTGAGGTAAGGGAAGTACTTGGAATACCAGGGCAAGGCAACATGGTAACATATTTGGTTGATGAAGACATATTGTTGGTAGTCCAGGTTGGTCCTGACCCCTGTCGGTTGAGGTTGATTGACATATTTCTCTGCCGCAGTGTGTTGTTGTTGGACATTGATTTCATGTACGGCGTTGTCAGGTAAGTCCTTAGTGACGAGGGGAGGGAAGGTTGCCACGGTGGCTGCTGATGTCGCTGCCTTGAGTAAGCTTTGCTGTGTGAACGAGTCAGGCTTAGCTCCCGAGGGGTCCTCCTGGTCCTCCAGACACGGAAGGCAGGCTACCTGGTCCTTGGTGATCTGCATGGTCATGGCGAATATGGCCAGCATGAGCATGACCACGCCCAGGTAATCCATGAAGACGTCCCACCATGGCTTCAGGATGCGGTACGTCGGCTGTATGTCATTCAAGGACGCAACCTCAGTGAGTGTGAACATCACTGCAACAAAAAGAGGAGAGTTGGTTAATTTACTTTTGGTTTGGAAGAAAACGTCAAACTAATTAGAGATGAAAACATATTTTAATCAACCAATAAGTTCATCAAAAAGTACTCAATCACTTTCTTCGCCCACTTAAAATTGTTATAGCAGAAATAGCTTTTCTATCATTATAAACCAAATGTCTTTGGCTTTTGGACTGTTTATCTGATAAAACAGGACTTCTGAACCTCCAAAACTGTAATGGCATATTTCACAATTTTACATAATAAAGCAATTGTTCAAGAAAATAAATCAACTAATTCATCTATGAAATAATTGCTGC